ACCAGGGGGCGGGGCTGGCTGGCATGTGGTGCTGGGGGATTGAACCGCGGTCCCTGTGCTTTGCTAAGTTTGTTCTAAGTAGGTGCTTTAGACCATTGAGCCATCTCACCAGCCCCTACACTGTGTTTTGACAAAATTGTTAAAGCTTAGTATATATTTGCTTAACATGTACATATCTCACATAGGTATGCCTCAGTATAAACTTAAATTCAGAATTTTGAATTTTTTTTTTAAAAAGTATCCTTAGGGCCAGCCAAATAGCTCAGCGGATTAAAGCATCTGCAAGCAGGCACAGGCGCAGGGGCCGAGGGTTCAGTCCCCCGGCCTGCTGTGCTGGCCCTGCCCCCCAGGCACACTGAGATGGCAATTGAGATTGGGCGCAGGCCTATAATCCCAACTCTTGGGAGGCTGTAAACAGCCTATGAGTCCGATCTAGTAGTGAGACCCTGAATACCCTGTAAACCCTTCCATAAAATACAAAACAAAAACAAAAAAATAAATTTGAGGATGGGGGAGACAACTCAGTGGCATGAGTACCTGCCTGGCATGTGCAAAGTCCAAAGTTCAATCCCCGGTACCAAAAGAAAAAAAAACAACTATCCTTTTTCAGCTTTAAATCATGTAATGATTCTTTTTTTTTTTTTTTTTTTAAATAATGATTCATTTTACAAATTTATTTTCTTTCTTTCTTTCTTTCTTTCTTTCTTTCTTTCTTTCTTTCTTTCCTTCTTTCTTTCTTTCTTCTTTTTTCTTTCAGAGCTGGGGATTGAACTCGGGCCCTTTCGCTTGCCAGGCAAGCACTTATTCAACTGAGTTATCTCCCTAGCCCCTCTTTCTTTCTTTCTTTCTTTGTGGGTGGTGATGTTGTTGCAGTATTGAAAATTGAACCCAGAGCTTCATGCAGGCTAGGCAAGTACTCTATCATTGTGTTATGCCACCATCCCTTTTATTTTGTTTTGAGACAAAATTCAGGCTGGCTTGAACTTGGAATCTTCCATCTTCAGCTTCATGAATAGCTGGGAGTATAGGTGTGCATCACCACATCCACATTTTTTTGCAATGTTGTGGTCAGTTATTATACTGAGCTATTTTTTGTGTACAAATCCTTATAACAGCCTTAAGAATAATAATCATAAGAAGAAAGTGGTATTATTATTAGACCTATTTTGCAGACAGGGAAGTGGGAGCTTTACAAGATATTGTGTCTGATCTGAGGTTATACTGTTGATAGGATACAAGTCCAGATTGAAACCCAGATAGGACTCTCACACTTAAATTTATAACCATACCTCATTACTTAGTACCTTCTTCCATTTCTACTGAAGAATTAGTATTCTAAAATATAGTAGACCTCTAGTGTTTTGTAACAATTAGAGTTGCTAACATTTTAGTCCATAGGTTGCAATGTAAAAACCAGTCCAATAGAAGATTACAAAGTAATCTCTTTTCATATTGTGAAGTTGCAAGTTTTAGATTTTCAGTATTTGTGGTTTCCATATTTTTACCCAGGATGCTTCACCACGTGTCCCAGGAGGCTCCCCTCGAACACCAAACAGATCTGTGTCATCCAATGTTGCCAGTGTGTCACCCATCCCTGCTGGGTCAAAGAAAATTGACCCAAACATGAAAGGTATATCTCTCTCTTCAAGAACATAATGGATTTTATGATGGAAAAAATCTACCTAGAATCCTACCTAAAATAGCTATTTTCATTGTTGAGCACAACCTTCTAATTTTTGTCTCAGTAGCTATAATCTCATAGTAAGTCATATCTGTGTCTAACCTTGGGCTTTTCTGTTTCTCTTAGGCTGTGTGCATAGTAAATATACAACATAACTAATGTATAGGAGTATCAAAATTTACCTTATTTTTTAATATTTATATTGTGACATTAAAAACCCAAGTTTAATAATTAAATACAAAAATTTACAAGTTTGCTTGGTAACAATAAATGCCTGTCTTCACAGGCACACACTTGTGTGGGTAGGTTGAAGTGCTGTTATTGGCAATCACTGCATTTTATTCTAGCTGTGCAAGCGCATGTAATGTGTGGTGCACACAGGTTTTGATTTGGCTGACAGATGGGCGCAGGAGTTGGACTAGCACTTGTGCAGCCTCCTCTACACAGTCATATACCTTGGAGCACCACTCAGTTGAGTCATGAGAGGTAGCATTTAAAATTGGCAATGTAGAGGCTGGGGAGATTGCTCAGTGGAATAAGCGCTTCCCTGGCAAGCACAAGGGCCTGAGTTCAATCCCCCAGTTCCGCCAAAATAAATAAATAAATGAGTAAATGAATAAATAAAAATAAAATAAAATTGGCAATTTAAAGGTTTATATTCTTAGGGACCACATTACTAGCTACTAGGACTGTGGGTTGAATGCACTTGTTATGAATCTTTTCATAATGTTATTTATTTTATTAAATTTTTGTATTTGTAGGAGTAGCACTGGAGACTGGTCTCAGAGGTGCTCTACTAAGCTACATTCCCAAACTTTTTTTGTGGTACTGGGGATTGAACTCAGGACTTTATGCTTGCCAGGCAAGCACTTATTCTACTGAGCTATCTCTACAGCCCCGCAATGTTTTTTATTTTTCATTTTGAGATGGTTCTTGCTAAATTGACCAAGCTGGCCTTGAACTTGAAATCCTTCTGCCTCAGCCTGTGGAGTAGGTGGTATTATTATATAGGTTTGCACCACTGTATGTACACTGTGTGTTAATGTATCACTATGTCCATGGTGAAATTTTTTTAGATTTAATCATTCTCCTTTGATCATTGGAGAAATTCATTTTTGTGCTTTATTTTTTTTCATAATTTTATTGATAAACAGATAGCAGTGAGACAGTTTCAAATCAAATCAGTAGGACAGTTTCAATAACTAACACACTGCATATATTCTTTTTAGTGGTTAATTGCTGTACAAGATGCGGACTTGAGATCCTATTTACAAACGCCATTAGAACAAATCATTCTATTCATTAAGAGAATGTAACTATATATCTATCCTTACCACTTTGAATACACAGATACAAAATGGACATTCATCTATATACCTTTTTTTCTAAGTTCCGTTATTTGAATATTATAGGTGTGTAAACTCAGCAAAATATTCTAAAAGAGTCCAGTAGCCCATAATAGCATTGGGTCTTCTGTTTAACTGGCAGTATCAGAAATTATTGACCTGAGTCCCCCACAGCTCAACATAACAGCATGGCTTTACTTCCTATATTTCGTCTTCATACTTTTCTACTAGATGGTTAAGACCAAGGTAAAGCAGGACCTATGCAACAAGAGTTGTCATTTTTGTGCTTTAATAGGAAACTTGCAGTTAAACTATATGCATAATAGTCTCTAGTAATAATTGCCATGAGTGATAGGTCAAAGAGTTTGCCTTTAATTTTTGTTCAAATGGATAATTCAGTTTTACATGTCATTGACATTGAGTTGTTACAGTTTTACTACAACTTAATTGGCATTCTTTAAATACTAAAGGTCATTTCTAAGTATTTCCCCACCTGTTGTTATTTCTTGTCTGTGAATTTATTGAAATCCTTTGCCTATTTATCTCTTGGAACATGTGTTGGTTTTCTTACAGAATCAGGGAACTTTTCTAATATGTGAGGCAGATATTTTTCAACAGCTATAGCTATAAAGAATCTGTTTCAAAGGGAAAAGATATATTAGCATCTAGTATGTGTTTAAAATATGGTGGGCTTTTAAAAAATAACACTCAAATTTTTAAGTTTTCTAATACTCTTGAAAGTTTACTCATTCATTTCCTGTGTGTTAGAGCTTGATTATTCACCCTCAGAGATTGAACTGCATTGGAATTTGGGATCTAGCTCTTGAATTTTAAGTCTAATTTACTCCCTCTGTGTGATTACTGTAGTATTTATGGAAAAATCTAATGTTTTAACTAAACATAACTTTTGTTTGTTTTCCTAGCTGGAGCTACAAGTGAAGGTGTCCTGGCAAACTTTTTCAACAGTTTATTGAGTAAAAAGACGGGCTGTCCTGGAGGGCCTGGTGCTGGTGGTGGCAGCCCTGGAGTCGGGGCTGCAGGTGGAGGCAGTGGCTTACCACCAACTGCCAAAAAAGCAGGTACAGTCACCTGGCTAGGTCACTTTTCATTGAAAATAACTTGGTGGAGGTATAATTTATGTGCCGTGAAGTTCAAACTATACATTTCCATAACTTGCACATCTTTTAGTATTGTAGGAAACATGACCGTTATGTAACGTGGAGATATTTTCATATTCTTTTTTTTTTTTTTTTTTTTTGCGGAACTGGGGATTGAACTCAGGCCTTTGTGCTTGCTAGGGAAGCACCTATTGCACTGAGCCATCTCACCAGTGCCTTCATAGCCCATGAAAGAAACTTCAAAGCATTCTTTTGTCCTACACCCCACCCTCCATCTTCCATCCTCTGAAGCTACCCGTCTGTTTTGTCTTTTTTTTTTTTTCCACAATTTTATTGAGAGGCAAATAGCAATGAGACAGTTTCAAATCAAATTGGTAGGACAATTTCAATAATTAACACATTGCATGGGGCTGGTGAGATGGCTCAGTGGTCTAAAGCACATACTTAGAACAAGCTTAACAAAGCAGAGGGACCGCGGTTCAATCCCCCAGCACCACATGCCAGCCAGCCC